TAGCTCCCACAATGCCTTGTTGTTGGAGGAATGACCGGAGGGATCAGCTTTCCTCTCCGCCTTGTTTCCTTGCTCCCTATCCTCCTCCTCTCTTCTCCTCTCCTTGTCCCTAATCCTCCTCCTCCTCTTCATCATATCAGCTGTTTCCTCTTCAGTCGACTGTCACAACAGAAGCAGCTGAGCTCTGTTTGGAGGAATACATTTTAAACTCAAACTCCATATTCATGAGGATTTAAGTGAAGAGTGGCTTCCTTGGTTCCTTCACTCGGTACCTTTCACTGTCTACACTCTGCAGGAATAAGCAGCCAGCTGGACAGGAAGTTAAAAGGGGAGAGAGAGGAGGAAAGGAGACAAGGAGACCATGAAAGGACAGCAAACAAGGTGAGGAGGTGGAGGAGAGAAGGAAATAAGGAGAGGAAGGAGGAGACATGACAAGAAAAGAAGAAGATAAATGGAGGAGGTTGAGGAGAGAGAAGACACGGTCAGGAGAGGAAATAAGAAGAGGAGAGGAGACAAGGAGAGAGGAGACCTTTATGAATGAAGTATCACAAACAGACTAAAGGAAGAATGAATGGAGGGGAAAAGTGATCACTAGATACAGGTCTGAACATTGACCTTACTGTCCCTGTAGACCAGCACCCAGAGCTTCAGACCAGCTAACAGCTGAGTGTAAATGTAACACCAGAAGAAGAAGAAATGAGGCGTTGGTGTTCTTATGGAGTCTAATTAACGAGCCAATGAATCATTAATAAGTGAACGAGGCCTTCAGGGGCTGTAGGAGCATCTGCTGCTGGAAAACACAGACATGGAGGAGCTGAAGAAGATCTGAAGAACCAGACCACGGAACAGGAAGTGACATCACCCCTGACGATAAAATAAGAGCTCATTGTTGAGGACAGGAAGCCACACAGGAGACGCGGTGCGTTCAATGACCACAGCTTCCTCCGTAGTAAAGGAGACCAGCTGCAGCTGCAAAAACATCCACAGTCTCTACTTCCTGTTTACTTTATTATTAGAGTCAAGTGTGTGTGTGTGTGTGTGTATGTGTATATATATATATATTGTAATATACAGTGGGTACGGAAAGTATTCAGACCCCTTTAAATTTTTCACTCTTTGTTTCATTGCAGCCATTTGCTAAAATCAAAAGTTCATTTTATTTGTCATTAATGTACACTCAGCACCCCATCTTGACAGAAAAAAACAGAAATGTAGAAATTTTTGCAAATGTATTAAAAAAGGAAAACGTAAATATCACATGGTCATAAGTATTCAGACCCTTTGCTCAGTATTGAGTAGAAGCACCCTTTTGAGCTAGTACAGCCATGAGTCTTCTTGGGAATGATGTAACAAGTTTTTCACACCTGGATTTGGGGATCCTCTGCCATTCTTCCTTGCAGATCCTCTCCAGTTCCGTCAGGTTGGATGGTGAACGTTGGTGGACAGCCATTTTCAGGTCTCTCCAGAGATGCTCAATTGGGTTTAGGTCAGGGCTCTGGCTGGGCCAGTCAAGAATGGTCACAGAGTTGTTCCGAAGCCACTCCTTTGTTATTTTAGCTGTGTGCTTAGGGTCATTGTCTTGTTGGAAGGTGAACCTTCGGCCCAGTCTGAGGTCCAGAGCACTCTGGAAGAGGTTTTCTTCCAGGATATCTCTGTACTTGGCCGCATTCATCTTTCCTTCAATTGCAACCAGTCGTCCTGTCCCTGCAGCTGAAAAACACCCCCATAGCATGATGCTGCCACCACCATGTTTCACTGTTGGGATTGTATTGGGCAGGTGATGAGCAGTGCCTGGTTTTCTCCACACATACCGCTTAGAATTAACGCCAAAAAGTTCAATCTTGGTCTCATCAGACCAGAGCATCTTATTTCTCACAGTCTGGGAGTCCTTCATGTGTTTTTTGGCAAACTCTATGCGGGCTTTCTTATGTCTTGCACTGAGGAGAGGCTTCCGTCGGGCCACTCTGCCATAAAGCCCTGACTGGTGGAGGGCTGCAGTGATAGTTGACTTTGTGGAACTTTCTCCCATCTCCCTACTGCATCTCTGGAGCTCAGCCACAGTGATCTTTGGGTTCTTCTTTACCTCTCTCACCAAGGCTCTTCTTCCACGATTGCTCAGTTTGGCTGGACGGCCAGGTCTAGGAAGAGTTCTGGTCGTCCCAAACTTCTTCCATTTAAGGATTATGGAGGCCACTGTGCTCTTAGGAACCTTGAGTGCTGCAGAAATTCTTTTGTAACCTTGGCCAGATCTGTGCCTTGCCACAATTCTGTCTCTGAGCTCCTTGGGCAGTTCCTTCGACCTCATGATTCTCATTTGCTCTGACATGCACTGTGAGCTGTAAGGTCTTATATAGACAGGTGTGTGCCTTTCCTAATCAAGTCCAATCAGTTTAATTAAACACAGCCGGACTCCAATGAAGGAGTAGAACCATCTCAAGGAAGATCAGAAGAAATGGACAGCATGTGAGTTAAATATGAGTGTCACAGCAAAGGGTCTGAATACTTATGACCATGTGATATTTCAGTTTTTCTTTTTTAATAAATTTGCAAAAATTTCTACATTTCTGTTTTTTTCTGTCAAGATGGGGTGCTGAGTGTACATTAATGAGAAATAAAATGAACTTTTTTGATTTTAGCAAATGGCTGCAATGAAACAAAGAGTGAACAATTTAAAGGGGTCTGAATACTTTCTGTACCCACTGTATATACACATATATACACATACATATACATACATATACATATACATACATATATAGCACATTTTATTTTTTGTATCATTTTCTAGATTTAAAGATGAATTAAATATCACTTTATGAAGCCGTTAAAGGTGTTTTATCAGGTAAACATGTTGCATCATCATCATCATTGATGAAGAGTAAACACTCTTGACTTCTCCTGTGTGAACCAAAATAAAGAGCTGGATGAGCCGACGGCGCTGCATTGAGTGACATCAGAGCAGCTTCTCTCTCTAATGGGACCCGGAGGCTTTACCCAGAATCCTCAGCGAGTGAAGAAAAACATCACGTCTGAATAATATAAATATTTATCATATTACTATTCTGTACTACCAACAATACAATCACATATAGGTATGAATCAAATAAAATGAAGTAAAATAAAATAAAGTAAAATAAAATGAGTAAGATTAGTGAAACAAACCTTTAAACATCCTAAAGCTGCTCCAATTTTAATCCCAGAATAACATGTAATCCGTCCATTAAAGCTACTCTTATTCTGAAGGACTGGAACAGATTACATCATAGCCCTTAATATTTATGTCTTTAATCATCAACTACGGATCATTTTATCTTCGTTTAAACAGTTATGAGGAGGAAAATACAATAAATTATTATTTATTATTCAACGCTGAGAAATCAGCTTCAAACACTACATTACCCATGAGCCTCGGTTCTGTTGCTGTAAAGCCGGTCAGAAGAGTTTAAACTGAAGGTTGTAGTGAGAGTTTACTTTGAATTAGAAGCTCTGTGATTGGACGGTTCTGTCTGCAATGCAGCCTGGGAGTTGTAGTTGACTTCTCTCTTAACAGATCTGTAAAAACTGGATCAGCCATCACTGGATCAGCTGTTTCCTGTCTGGACCTTTAACTAAAGATGATATCATTCTCTTCCTACTGGGATCAGTCAGACGATAAAAACGATCTTAAAGTAATGAAGATAATTTATTAAAGTTCAATCAGAGTGATCGATCCAGAGTTCTGGACTAATAGACGTGACTTTAACATATTTATTATTCAACACTAAATCTCCTTTAATTAAATAAAAAGATGCCAAAAGTCTGAGTCAGCTAATGTTAGCGCCGCCGCCTCCACTGGGCGCGCTCACACCCCCCCCCCCTCCCCCGATATTTGCTGAGTCATGCTTGACCTGGTGCAGTGAAAGAGAGAGAACGAGTGATTGTGATGAACAAGAGGAGCAGAGAGACTGACTGTTACATAACGTCTAAATAAAGCACCCCCCCCAATCAGCTGTTACATAATGGCCGCTATCGGCCACAATAACACAGGTACCTGTGTGATGCTAACATCGTGCTAATGATGCTAACAGGAAATAAAGAGACAAAAAAGAGTGCATCGTAGAAAAGATGTTTTTTCACGTTTTACGGGATTTAAACTGAGACGTGCAATAGTAACAATATGATTTAATATAGGAATAAATACAACAATAAAGTTAGATAAAATATTTAAATAAGTTAAATAAAAAGTTTTAAAAAAGAAAGTAAAATAAAATTATGAAATAAATTAAAATATATCAAAGTAAAATTAAATTAAATTAAGTTAGTTAAAAAAAAAAGTAAATTTAAATAAAGGAAAAAGTACAAAAAAATGTAAGTAAAAAAGTAAAATATAGCAAGTTTATAATTAAATATTAAAATTAAATAAATTAAAATAAAGTAAAGTAAAGTAAAATAAAGTAAGATAAATCTCGTCTCTTACAATTACTGTTTAAATTCCTGTATTGATCTGACTTCTGTTAACTTTGTTCTCATTTATCACAATCTTTAAAATACGAGCAGTCAACAGCTAACAGCTAACAACAGCTAACAGCTAACAACAGGTGACAAGTAACAACAGGTGACAAGTAACAACAGCTAACAAGTAACAACAGGTAACAACAGCTGACAACAGCTGACAACAGCTGACAACAGCTGACAACAGGTGACAACAGGTGACAACAGGTGACAACAGGTGACAAGTAACAACAGGTGACAACAGCTAACAGCTAACAACAGGTGACAAGTAACAACAGCTAACAGGTAACAACAGCTAACAGGTAACAACAGCTAACAGGTAACAACAGCTAACAGCTAACAACAGCTAACAGCTAACAACAGGTGACAAGTAACAACAGGTGACAACAGCCAACAACAGGTGACAGGTAACAACAGCTAACAGCCAACAACAGGTGACAAGTAACAGGTGACCACAGCCAACAACAGGTGACAAGTAACAGGTGACAACAGCCAACAACAGGTGACAAGTAACAGGTGACAACAGCCAACAACAGGTGACAGGTAACAACAGCTAACAGCTAACAGCTAACAACAGCTGAGTCTGTTCAATAACATTATGAACCCCTAACCCTGCCCCTGCTCAGTGCCTTGCTCAATAACCACAACGTAAGAAACATGAGTCACACAAACAAGAGTCCTGAGGGCGAACAAACAAACACACACGCATAAACTAGGTCACATGGTGCGTTCACTGACTGCAGACCGCCAAAATAAGACAAAAGCAGCAGGAAGCACAAAGGAAGAGAGGTGTGTGTTACTGCAGATTAGAGAAGAGCTCCACCTGTTCTACTCTAATCTACTGTATTCTACCGAGATCTACTCTGATCTACTGAGATCTGCTGCAATCTACTGAGATCTGCTGCAATCTACTGAGATCTGCTGCGTTCTACTGAGATCTGCTGCGTTCTACTGAGATCTGCTGCGATCTACTGAGATCTGCTGCGTTCTACTGAGATCTGCTGCGTTCTACTGAGATCTGCTGCGATCTACTGAGATCTGCTGCGATCTACTGAGATCTGCTGCGTTCTACTGAAGCAGGAAGTCTTCTGGTTCTCTTAATAAAGGAGTATTTTCATTCAGAAAGTACGTTCAGGACGTGTTTAAAAGAGCGTTTAAAGAGCTTTAAACTCATGTGAAGAATTAAACAATTAAATGTAATTATTATTTAATCATAACAGGGTTTATTTCTGCAGACTTCAGACCCTTTTAATAAAGCACAGAATATACTTTACTACCACAGTATGAAAGTATGAAGTACTTTCATACTGTGGTATCTTTATTCTGAAATATGTGAAAGACACGTAATGAATGAGCAGTTATGCAGATGTCTTTATGTTGTATTATTGTGTAAATCTTGGTTCTTGTAGTTCTCAGAGTTAACGATCTTCCTCTAACATCTGTACCAGGGTCACCTGCTGAAGGAGGAGTCAGGACACATCTGGGAGGTTACGTAACGAGACGTCCAGCAGGATGATGAGGATGATGATGATGATGATGATGATGATGACAGCTCTGCTGCTGTTTGGTTATTTCAGCATGAAAGCAGAGTGAGTCACCGGGGGGACAGTAGCAGCGAGTCACCGCTCTGACTCTCATTGTGTCATGAAGCTCACACAGATGTGCAGCACAGAGTGCTAAACACTCCACATCTGCTCAAATATACACAGACATTCAAAACGCCTTCATTTTACAGCCAAAATATAAAACACAGAAAACACAAGAGGAGAGAGGAGAGGAGAGGAGAGAGGAATAAACAAGGACACAAGGAGAGTAGGGGAGGGAGAAGAGAGGAGAGGAAGAGAGAG